GAAAATTTCATGTCATTAGCACCTCTAGTAATATATTTACTGAGAAAAATGGTGACGCGTTCAATACTTATTTTACCCACTGTATATATAAAACACAAGAGAGGGTCCCCAGTGTGAGTAGCCAGGTACGTACATTTTTTCAAAGCCAAATTTCTAATAAAACATTATAAAAATGAAAATCCCCTGTGCAACAAACTATTTGTTAGTCAGCACTGACCACCGTGCCATAAAAGATGATGCCTCAGACAATAAGTCCTTTGTGTGGCCTAATCTTACCAGTAAATGTTTCTTGTTTACTTTTACACAGTATGCCTTCGGCGCTGAAGTCATTCAAACACGGACGTCCCAGAAACACATTAGCTGTAATCTGCAGGTTTACCAAGAGCTTCGACACGTACAAAAGCGAGCAGAGCCTTTGATTTTCAGGCCTCTTTACTGTGGAACCAGTTTCCAGTTTGCTTTCTGGTGACACCAGGGCTGCCTCACGCTGAGCAAAAGCACGACCCGAGGGCCAGGAGTTCTGTGGAGATGCATTCAGAGTGACAATAAAAAGGAACATGAATTTGAACATTCTGCAAAAAGAAAAACGGTGTTTTGATGAGAAGCTTAGGAAGTCTGTGCAGCCTGGCCTGTGTCCCGGCTCCCCCTCCTGTCTGATCAGAAAAAAGGCACTTTTTATAAAACCACAACTCTTACACCACATTACACACTTCCTCAAGTAAGATCTCAATTAACTGCAAAATCCCCCTTTTTTAGCTAATAAATACATTTTGCTGTGTACTTGGAGTCTATAAGAATGCTCTATATTCTGTTTGGGTCATATTTTTTCAACCTGTTCTCTTTGCTATGATGTTTTCAGAACTATTGTGTTGGACAATTTGTGGTTGATTAACAGAATTTTAAATTTTATACTTTGTGGTTGTTTGCAATCGTTTAATTTTATCAGTTAGAGAATCAACAAGTTTCTGTTTAGTTTAAGTGTTTCTGTAACTTACTTCCTTGGATTAGGCATGACATCATGGGGTATGAACAAGTTCTTTAGAAACTTGTGAAATGTCTTGGCATGGGGGTCATTCTGTCCTCTCGTGCGGGTGGACCACGGTACTGTGACTGGTTTCCTGAGCCAGATTTAGGTTCTCATTGTACACAATTCTCTTCCATTGTGTCACAGTGTTTGCAACAGGATTGCTACATAATGTCTGGACTTACCAAACACAATGTAGAATAATGTAGTTTGGTTGTCTTCATTCTCCTCTCACTCTGGGTCAGACTCTGGCTCCAACGTGTTGTTGATTTCTTTTAATTAACCAGTAAATAAAAAGTTTCTGTGCTGCTAAATAGTTGTAAACCTCTATCAAAGTACAACAAACCGCTCTGAAAACTAGAAGGGGGCGGGGTTTGAAGTGCCTCATTTGGATTTAAAGAAAGTGTCTAAATGAGTTGATCTGTAACAAACCTCAGAAAAAAGGTGAAAGAGGGGCTTGTGGAGTTACAATAAGGAGGAATTCAGACCAAAAGCACTGCAGTTCCAGTTTATAGACCCCAACTGAATGATTTAAGTGTGATGATATGTCTCCTTTAAAGCTGCGAAAGGTAACTTTTGTAAAAACACATTTTTTTGTATATTTGTTAAAACTGTCACTATGTCCTGACAGTAGAAGATGAGACAGATAATCTGTGAAAAAAATAAAGCTCCTCCTAGCAGTCCTATTTTCCAAAACAGCCATTCAGCTTCAGGTGTGATGTCATACCAGTGTCAATCATGCTTGTGTACAGGCATCTGACTCCCTTCCCCCCGCACAACACGTACGCTCGTTCAAGCTCAAGATGGACGGTGTGCTGCAGCTGTGCTGATGGTGGAGAAACAACCTAACGTTACAGAAAAACTGCCACTTTCATGGAGCTCCCGTTGTTTGTCTGCCATCATCGGTGGCCCTGCTGATAAGCCTGCGTGTTCATGGTTGGCTGCGCTGCAGGGGAGGAGCAAGGGGCATGGACCTGTACAGTGTGCTTGTTCAAAATTTCAGGTCTACGGCTTTCTCAGAAGTCCAGCTTTAATTAAGAATTAGGTCAGATCTCAATTGATTTATTTAAAACTAGATACTGCATAGCGGTAGCAGATATGACCCCCCACACATCTGCAAAGCACCCATGCACCAGAACTCACATGCGGGTCGCAGCACAGAGATCATTTTGAGTAAAAGCTCTTTTGGGTGGAGTTAATAAACATGCATATGAAGCTGTTGAACTCTTAGTTTAGGTCAGATAGGACAACATTTGTGCCAAATCTAATGTGCCAAGATCTAATCATGGATTTGTAGACTTGAAGTAATGATTTTCAGTCAAGTTCTGATTATTTTTGTCTACTGCTATGTGGCAGTTGCATAACATATAATGTTATGAAATGATTGCCCTTCATCAGAGCTAAACAACAACAACAACAACAACAACAACAACAACAACAACAACAACAACAACAAAAATCTGAAGTTGCTATGTTGAATAATTTAGAAGATATAAGCATTTTTGAATGTCCAGACACCAGCGTCCCCAGTTGAAATACGGGGTCCATCGCAAAACCGTTTGCTAGTGCAGTGTAAGTGAGTCACATCTATATTTCTACCAAATTTCATGCTGTTAAGTGCAGCCGTTTCTGTGTTACAATTGTCCAAAAATCTCTGAAAAAACGATTAAATAAAAATAAACAGTATGAAAACAATGACCCCCACTTCATGTATTAACAACATCGGTTTTCACTGTCAGCTCAAACTCAAACAGGGTGTTTTGTTGTTAAAACATAAAGTAACATAAAAAGTTTCTCATACAGGGGAAATATGGGATGCTGTAAGGTTAGGTGCTAAAACAAAAAAAAAGCTTTGTGTTATTTATAATGAAAGCTGCCGTTGATCCACACCAGAGGTGTGATGCTGTGGTTTGTCACTAGTCTGCAGTCGTCATGCAGCTTCAAAGGTCATTGATATTTTACAAGAAAAGGAGGAAATAACACAACTTGCATGCGCCATGCAGGCGTGCTTATAAAACATGTGAACGCCTGCGAAAGAAGTTTGGTCGGTTATTAAGAAAAGTGCAGCTCACTTGGTAAGTCTTTTCTTTATTTTTATCAGCAAAGGAAATTGTTTCTAAGGCTTCAGTTACAGAAAAGTTTCCGTCATTGAGGAAAAAGATCTTTTAAAAAACCCGTCTGTGTTGTCTTGTGTTGCAAAATTAGACAGTGGCAAAGAAAGAACCGTTTGGGTTTTTTTCTTTCTTTTTTTTTGACAGCCAACAGATTTGCACACAGTGACAACTGTGGACTGTCTTCTTCCAGAAGACTGCAGCAAAYCAACTGAACAAACTGGGAATCAACAGGTAAAATATTTTCAAATATTCCTYAAAAATGCAGGTTTTGGTTTTATTCAAGAAACTCCTTTATTCATTTGATCTCTTTGGATCAGTGTGCTAATCGTTTATTTTATTTTATGCAGGGATTCAACGATACAGTATAATATGTCCTCCAACTACACTACTGAAAATTGCTAATCGTTTATTTTATTTTATGCAGGGATTCAACGATACAGTATAATATGTCCTCCAACTACACTATTGAAAATTGCACAGCGGGTATTTTYGAATTCTTGGCCTACAGTCCAGTATGTCTGGTGGGTTTCTTCGTTAACGGAGCTGCTCTGTGGGCCTTTTTCTCCATCCGGGTCTCCTGGACTGACACCCACATCTACATGGTGAACTTAGCATTTGCTGATTTCGCCCTCATCCTTACCCTTACCCTCAGGATCTACGACACCTTCAAATGCCTAGATAAAACTCACTTGTGCACTTTCCTCATTCAAATGCATTTCATCAACATGTATGCCAGCATGCTGACCATGACGGCGATCAGCGTCCACCGCTACATGACTGTGAGGTTCCCCATCCAGGCCAGGTCCTGGAGGAAAAAGAAGGAAACGGCTGTCGGTGTGTGTGTGATCATCTGGTCTCTCCTGGTGGCTTTGGCTGTTGCTTTTCGTCAGGAGAACCACCCTGACAAACTCTGGACATGCTACGAAAGACTTAAAGATCATCCGCTCAGTTTAAAATTCATTATTCTATTGGTGCTTGTGGGTTTTGTTGTTCCTCTGCTGATCACCGTGTACTGCTCCGGTCACATCATCTTTATTTTGTTAAAAAAGCGCAGCWGTTCAGCGGAAAGGAAAAGCCTCGTTGGCATCGTTACAGCAAACCTGATTGTGTTCCTCCTTTGCTACACACCCATACACATTGCTTTTGTTGTTAACTTCTTACAAATAGTTCCTCCAAACTGGAGGGAAGTGACTTTGCCCGCTCACACGTTTTTACGAGTGTCCGAGTGGATCTCTTCCACAAACTGCTGCTTTGATTCCATTAGCTTTTATTTCTTATTAAAAAAGGTTTACACATAAAAGAGAGAGAGCACCAGCACCAATCTGTGTTCCATTGTTTAAAATACACGATGTCGTTACACGTGTTTATTGGGTTGACTCAGCATTTTTTTTGTAACCTGCGTGACTCTGAAGGGAACTGAAAGAGCCAGACGTACAAATTTCATTTTCAGTTCCCTGCAGAACTGGAGGCCCTGAAGAGAACYAACACTTTAAACTGTTAAAGAAGAATTTTGGTTTGTGAAAATAAGATGGACCCTTGATATTATACAAGTAAAGCTRTTCTTTGAAATATTGTTTTTTTTAATAAAACATGCATATTTTTAACTCAGCTTATATGTTTTTCTACCTTTGCCATTTTTATCAAAATATRTGTTTTATAGACATGTTTTATATCTGATTTAACATGGATTTTTAAATATGAATAGGCTTTTTATTTTGATGAATAATTCTTTTCAGTCCTCAGTGRTAGACGGTTTATGTCCAGGTTATTCAATTAAATTGCTCAGGGGGCCAAAGTTATTGAAAACTAACAGCTCATGAGCCAGACCTGGCAATTAAATACATGCAATACTTTTTTATGATTTAAAATCTGATTTTATATTAATATTAGGTCATTGGCAGGCATATATATTTGTCATTCTTGTCTTGAAAAAGAAAAATAGTTTTTATGAACCCATTGGCGGGACTAGATAAAAGTCACTCGTGAGCCAGATGAAGTCCACAATCCACCAGTTGACATTTGCTTAAACGTGAAATAAGTCTCTAGAAGAACGTTTTAAAGACATTGTGATGAATGTTTTATTTGCAACATTGAACCAATTTTACAGCCAAGCTAAACATTGAAATTGAGTTT